CTTACAACCGGACCGTTAAGCAACATCATGATATAGAGACAAAAAAAAAAAAAAAAAACCAACAAACAACAAACCCAACCTCAAATTGTCAACCAGTTCCTTTTACTTGGATCCTCAATCGACACAAATGCCTAACAGCATTAATGCATCTCCCATGATGAGTAAGACTGGAAAAGGGCACCTGTTCAATGGTTTCTAAATATTTGCAGTTGCTTGAACTTGTAGTCAAACTAGAGAGTAAATTGACTCCAGTTTTCTATCTCTGGACGATGCTCTATGTGGCTTGCAGGAAAGGGGTTTGAAAGATACCTCAATCTCAGTGTGCAGAGAAGCCCAACACAGAGAAAGAGCCCCAAAGGAAGCAGCAGTGGATCAAAACTCGCACCACATACCCCTGTTCCAGGACCTCCTAGGCAGGCACTGATAGATCAAATACACACAGATTTACACAATACTTTATACCTGGAGTTGTTTTGGTTTGGTTTTGTCCATTTTCCTTGAGATTTCGAGAAAACAGGTAATATAACCTCCATCTAAGATGCTAAGTTGTATGCTAATTGCCAAGTATGCTGCAGAGATGATGTATGCTAAGAGACCAATGCCTGGTCTCTTTAGCTTGCAGCTGAGTGAGACAATGCATAGAAGGATGTCACAAAGGTCCAGTCAAGGGTAAGTTCCCCAGAAGGAATAGGAGGTTGCCCACTTTCCAACCGCACTTGGTTACTGACCAAAAGGTTGGCAGTTCAGTTCCACCCAGAGCCAACCCAGAAGTAAACTCTGGCAGTTTGCTTCTGAAAGGCCATAGCAGTGGGAACTCTGTGGCACACAGTTCTCTGAAGCACATGAGGTCACCATGAGTCAGAATTTACTTGGGCCCTGGCTTGGTTTGGTTCTGCCTGTGTGTGCTATTCCAGGGAAGCTGCATGACAAGGTTGCTCCATCGGGCAATTTCCTCCGGACAGCAGTGATGATGCAATTTGGAGGTGACTGTGAGCCCTTTTGCAATTTGGCTACAAGTTAAACACATCCACACACACAGAGACAGAGAGTAGCCAAATGGCTCTATTATGCCTGGTCACATCTCATCATCTCATTACAATGAAGAATTTGCTGACTTGGACATGCAAAGTCAAAACGCCCTGTCACAAATTCTTAAAATGGGGAGAGTCACTCCTCTTCTTCCCCACCCCAACAAGTACAAGTGAAGGGTGGGTGCAGGGTGACGCTGAATGCCTGTGGGCGGCTGAACTCATGAAGCTAAAATTCACAAGCTCCACTGGAAACACATGGGGAGCAGTAACAGAGAAAATGATGGTTTTCTGAAAGCCAAGAATACCTCTGGGGAGGATGCCTTTGATGCCTTCATTAATTTTTTAGCAAGGCAGTCACTCACACAGACCAGCTGTCGGGACAGATCACCTCCGGCCAGTGCTGGGCTAAGGAATCCTAGGACCTTGTACACCACCTGCACCAGATCCATGTTCTCAAGACAGACATCATGTTTGGTTTAAGGGAGGGGAAGGGAGAAAGACACGTCATCTTAAAAAATATGTCTATCTAAAAAGTTGTCATTTTAAAATTCCAAAATTTAGTATTAAGTCCCAGGTATCAAGGAAATCCTGATCCAGAACCTACACTCTCCCTGGTGTTTAGAAAATGAAGATTCACATTACTCATTAAATATCACAACATGTCAGGAGTGGGTGGCACAAACATTCTTTAAAGAGGAAGGACAAGACTCCAGTCTAACCACCACCCACCCCACATGCCCTCTCCAAGCCTCACAAAACGCACTCAGGGTAGCTTTCCCCTGAACTTGAACTCACTCTGTCTTTATCATCTGCCACGTCACAGAGGATGTCATCCAAGTCTAATATGCCACCATCTCCATGTTCCAGTCGATGCACCTGTATCCAGTAGTTTGGATCCTATACAAAAAATAACAGAAATATTGAAGAGAGCAAGTTAGTATGACAAAGGGAATTCACCAATCTAAAATGCAATAACTTTCTGCCCATAAAATGGAACAGACCAGAAAAACAACACTGCAATTGATTAAAAATTCAGGTAGCTCCCTAACATAAGGGTTCAGCCGGTAGTTTTTTCCCTTTTACGATGTAACCACTAATGCACAATCTTCCCTCTGGCTTAGATGCCTCCTACATTATACAAGCCCAAGAAGAACTGCAGAAACCGGCAAAATTCACTGCTTAGGAAATATTGATTTCTCTATGGTATTCTGGATTTCCTACTGTCCAATATGAAATTTGTATAAGCCTCTTATTGTAATCTATAGGAATAGTCCAACACACATGTACATGTCTAGGAAAACATGCATTGCAGTCTATCTGTAAAAAGACAGACACAAATCTCAGCGATCTAGAGTTCTCCCTACAAACATAACAATGTTTGCGCTTTGAGTCTGTTTTAATGCAAAATTGTGTGTGTGCGTGTGTGTGTGTGTGCACACATTTTTTTAAAGTTTCCAAAAGAATACATCCAATGTTTCAATAATTTTATTCTGAGGAATGGGAGAGAAGGAAGGAAATTCAAAATTAAAAACAAAAATAACAATAAATTTACATACTTCTCTATAGGGTGAGGGTGTGGTATTTATATATAATATCATAAAGCCACATCTTAAAAGATGTGCGTAATCCAAGCCTGTGACCAAGGTACTGCCGGAGGGGGGGCAAGGGAGTCTATTCATAAGAAGCTCTCCAAGTGAATTTCTGCAGAAGCTATGCCTAACTGCCACTAAAAATACAGAATGACACGTCCTTATCACTTTTTAACCAGCACATCAAGCAGCAAAGACCTTCATTTTCTGTTACCATATATTACTATAGAAACCACTAAGTAAATAACCCATAATTATCCTACAGCCTCTCATCTATCTAGACTCCTTTAAAGTGTTTTAGAATTCAAGTGTTCTTCTAGAAGGCTAAGGAACAATTTCTGTCTATCTCTCTTACATTTACACATTCTCATTCTCTCTCTCTCATTCTCTCTCTCTCTCTCTCTCTCACACACACACACACGCCCCCCCCTCATCTTTTTCTTACTCTTTGCATGCTCTCTCACACTCTCTACATACATACACACACTCCATCCTCTTTCATTCATGGGCTAAGTCTGACTTTGCACAAACCATCACCCAAGGATGTTGTGTTGTTGTGTATCATAGAGTCAGAATTGACCCATAGCTGACCCTCCGGTGGGTTTTCAGAGGCAGTTAATTGCATGGGAGGATAGTGCCCACCCTTCTCCTGCTAGTGGCCTCGAACTGTGTGCTTTTGGGATTGCAGCACAGTGCCAGTCAACCACCAGAGCTCCCTAAGATCACCTAAGGACATCACCAAGGGATAACACTAGGAAACCTCCCTCTGTGAGTTCAAGGATGCTCCAGAATTTATTCTTTCTGATGTATTGAGCCAGCAAAGAATACAACTCCAAAACAAACCATACTTCCTGTCTTCTTTAACCAATGATATTCTCCAAAATTCAGATATAATTAATATACCAGGAGTGAACTTTTCAAAGGTATTTATTCCCTAGTCACTGTAAACAAACAGTTACATCCCTTCTTCCCTTCTCCCCCAGCAGTCCCTACCCAGCTGCCATCAAGTATACTCTGACTCATGGAGACGCCCACGTATGCTGGAGAACTGTGCTCCATAAGCTCTGTAACAGAGCACCAGGGCGATCCTTCCCCTGAGGTTCCAATGGGTGGACTTGAACCATCAGCAGCTTACTTGTCAGCTGTCCATTTACGATTTGTACTGCTCCAGAGTAAGCTCGTCCATTTAATACCAGCTTTCCCTTCTAAACCATTTACATCACTCTGAAGATGACTGATCTCCAAAACAATTGGTCATTAATTTTTCTATTCCTTAATGTCTTCATGAATCTAACCTGAAGCCTTTATAAAATATCTGCAGCCACATGTTTGCAATAAATTGCCACCTAAAGACTTTCTAAATTGCATGACGTCAATCCTCAGAATGTACTACCATCCAATCTTGCTTTCAACACTTTCCATTTCAAAGCCTGCATCAAGCCTTGCACTACCAAGTTCCCCACTACCACACCCTGTGAGGCCAGGGTCAAAAATGCCCAGACCTGGGTCCTGTTATCAACCAATCTAGTCCTTTCCCACTTGTTGTGGAATGTTGGAAAGGAAGGAAGGGCCTCTGGCCAGGACAGATCATGTAAGCTCTGGATAAGTGCAAGCCTCCCAACAGCCTTTAATACGGGGTAGAGAAAGCTAACCTGTGTTTGGCTGTACAGGCTTGAGAAAGCTCACCACCTGGGAAGACGGCTGCCACATCTGTTGGGCTGAGAGTGATCTGCATGAGGCTGAGGTTGTTCTAACCAATCCACGTGTCCCACATTTGAAAGCCCACCCTACCCTGTTTTCCTGTGTATGTTAAGTGCAGTGCTTATCCCAATAAAGTTGAGCTGGATTGACTCTCTGATCCTCTCCTGGGGTGGTGTATCTCTGTCGTGCTTACTCCCATTAGGGTGTCACTGTTGGTTGTCGGCGAACAGACAGCGACACCCACTCACCAAGACTTCTCAGACATCCTCTTAAAAAACTTCTCCTGACCATGACATCCAAAAAGCTTGTCAAAAGCCCACCTCCAACCTCATTTTTTAACACTCCCAAAAAACCACAGCAGTAAGGAAGGACACAGTGGTCAGGAGTCAAGTTTGGGCCTTTAAAAGCTGTCAATGTTTTCTTTCTACACATGCCCACATTATTCTCCTGACCCTGCTTCACCCTCCTAGTCTCTGATCCTCTTTACAACAAGTTGTTGTGTTTTGTTTTGAAGAACTGTCTAGGCTTGTCTCTGTCTCCTCCCATGAACTCACTCCAGCCAGGCTTCTTTCCAATCACATTCCCAAAACTGCTCATCAAGATCATCAGCAAGCTCCTTGTTGCTAAATACAAAGGTCAACTCTCACTTCTCATCTTACTAGACCGATGCAGCAGAATCTGACACCAGTGGACACGCTCTCCTCTTTGAAGTACTCTGCAAACTCGGTTTTAAATCCTGTCGCTAAATGTTCAAAGCAAGTCTAATTTTGGGACTCCGAGCTGTTGATGCCTGCCTCCCAGAGAGGTCCTGATTCAACAGTCTCAGCTATGCCAAGTCGTCATGACAACATCATGCCAGAGCACATATCAGCCTGGCACTAATTAAATGCCACTCCATAACTGTGCGCTGAATGGCGGTGACTGAGCAGAGAGTGGCCCAAAGGAAGATCACCCATAATCTCAATAGAATAAACAATATGAAAGAAATCAGACCTGAGCAGGCCACCCAAAAATTACCTCCTCCACTCATCAGTGTACAAAAAAACTAGGAAAGTGGCTTTGGGGTTTTGAGGGGGGTTTGTCACCGAGACACACAGCTCCTTACAACAGCAGTCTCTTGGGAGCTTTTCACTGGCAGCGTTCATCAGCACAATTACGTTTCAATAAGCTCGCTCTATTTCCAAGGGAATAGTCAAGTGTCCAATTTAGGGAAAACGGTTTTCTAGGAATGGCAGGGCACACTTGCTAATTTCTGTTTGGGGTGGTTTGCATTTAAAAGTTTGGATAATATCGGTAGAGACTGTCACAACCCTGGCTGTAGAAACTTAACAATAAAAAGAAACTCTGCAATATACCTGTCGCTGGAATAAGAAAAATACAACATAGAACTCTTAATAAAACATTTTAAAACCAATGTTTCTTGCTTAGACTGTGTTGTTTAAAATAATAAAAAACTGGAACACATACAACAATTTTATGTTATAACAACAAGAAATCTATTGCATAAGAGCAAAATAGTAAGAACAATGCCCACGGCTAGAGACAGAGTAAGTGAGTGAGAGTGTGAGAGAATGTGAGTGTGTGTGTGTGTGTGTGTGTGTGTGAGAGAGAGAGAGAGAGAGAGAGAGAATGTTTCAAATGCATGCTCCCACAAACATTGCTGTCTCCCTGGAACCCACTCATAGCTGACCCTCCAGTGGGTATTTGGAGACTATAAATAGCACAAGAGGAGCATGCCCACCTTTCTCCCACGGAGTGCCTGGTGGATTCCAACTACTAGAGACGAGTCACCTTTGGATTAGTAGTGAAACTCCCTTTGAACTATACCACTAGAATAAGGTAAAAGGGTGGCAAGAAACTGCACTGCTATCCCAGAGGTATGCGGTTTGAATCCACCAGATGCTCTGCTGGAGAAGGAG